ACCCACTTACATCCAACTGACCTCTTTTCTATTGATAAGGTGACTAACTCCCAGGTGTTGTTCTTCTCCAATGCCTTCATCTCTACATCCATGGTTTGCCTCCATTTTCTGTCAGATAATGTCTCAGATAGGGTATTAGATAGAAGTGCAGTGTTTAGGTTTACTAGGAAGGTTTTATGGGTAGGAGAGAAATTTTTAAAGGATAGGTAATTTGAGAGAGGGTAGAGTGGCTGTTTGGTGCATTTTTCTTGTTCCTTTTCTAATGGCAATTGGGAGGTCAGGATCATTTTGGGTTTCAATTTTAACCTGCACAGCTGGAGAAAAAATTGTTACCTCTTTTTGTGGAGTCGAGTTGGATTCTTGAACATGGCTTGATCCTGGAATGACCTTAGTCTTCCTTGAGTATACCAGCTTTTTACCAAATTTTCCAGCTTCAACATCTTCTTGATCAGCTTCATCATCTTCTTGATTAGCTTCACAATTAATTTCACTTTCTTGACCAACTTCCTTTTCTTGACCAATTCCTTGACTTGTTTCATTTGTTACAACTTCAATTTGATCTCGTTTAGGTTCAAATATCAAGTCTGGAAGAATGGAAAAACCAGAATTACTACTTTCAATATGATTTCGTTTAGGTTCAAATGTCAAGTTTGGATAAATGGGAAAACCAGAATTACTACTTTCCTTATCTTCCTTATCTTCCCTGAAACTCTCCCCCTGAAGATAAGGTTGATGGAAATAGCCCTCTTGTTCATTGAAGGTAACATCCCTAGACACAAAGAATTTTTTGGATGGGGGGTGGTAGCATTTATACCCTTTTTAAGTGGGTGAGTAACCAACAAAGACACACTTTAAGGCTCTAGGATCAAGTTTCCCCTTGTCTGTACTATGAATATGGACATATGAGATGCACCCAAAAACTCTTGGTTTAAGATTATTTATAGTAGACAGGTTTGGATAGAAAGACGACAAAGCTTTCATAGGGCTTTTTTATCCTAAGACTCTAGAGGGTAGTCTATTGATAATGTATGTTGTTGTAAGGACAACTTCCCTCCAGAAATTTTTTGGGACACTTTTTTGGAACAACAATGCCCGAGTCTGATTTAATAGATGTCCATTTTTTCTCTCTGCGACCCCATTCTGTTATGGTGTTTTGACACAAGAGGACTCATGAATTATACCTTCTTTTTGACAAAAAGAATTAAGGACATGATTGAAGTAATCTTTGGTATTATCTGACCTAAGCCTCTGAATATTAACACCAAACTGATTTTTTATCAAGGAGTGGAAGTTTAGGAAGACAGAACTGGCTTCTGATTTTTGTTTAAGTAGAAAAACCCAAGTGACCCTTGTACAATCATCTATAAAGGTGACAAACCATCGAGTACTAGACACATTTGGAATATTAGAAGGTCCCACATCAGTATGAACAAGATAGAAAGGGACATTGTTAATTCTATTACTTATTAGAAAAGATATACGCTTGTGCTTAGCAAGTTCGCACACCTCACAATGAAGACTCTCAACATCTAACTTGGTAAACAGAGAGGGAAACATAATTTTGATCACTCCAAAAGAGGGATGTCCCAACCGACAATGATAAAACATGATTTTTTCTCTGTTGGTCATCAAGGATTCAGATATGAAGGAGTGAGAGATTCTATTCTTGTTAGACAGACTTGGATCTTCAAGATAATAAAGGTCATTCCATTCTTTAGCATGTCCAATCATCATCTCCGAATCCTTGTCCTGAAATACACAATGATCGTTGAAAAAAATAATTTACATGACAAATTCTTTATAAGTTTTTGTATAGAGACTAGGTTGGTGGACAGCTTTGGGACATGGAGATCATCTTTTAAGGTTATAATATGACTAATTTAGATATTTCCTTGACCAACTATAGTTATAAGGGTTCCATTTGCTGTGGCAATTTTCTTGTTGCTGAGACATGGGGAGTATGTGGAGAAGTGTTTGGCTAATGGTGTTATGTGGTCTGTGGCTCCAGAGTCTAATATCCAATAATGGTTAAAAGGTGTAACTGAGACATTTAATCCAAAAGAAAGTGGAAATTTACCTGAGTATGTCAAAGAACAAACACCTGTAGGTTTTTCTAGCTAACTAAGAAAGGTTTTCACTTTTTCTATCTCCTCTTGGTTAAGATGGGCAGCAACTTCTGGATTATTTTCTTTATTTATTTCAGCAACAACATAAACTTATCCTCCTTTTCTTAAGGAGTCTTCTCTGTGTCCCCCTTCTCGATCTCGATTTAAAGGTTTCCCATGTAACTTCCAGCACTTCTCTCAGGTATGACGAGGCTTATTGTAGTAGGTACACCAAAGACCATCACCTTTCTTCTCTATATTTGTTGATCCTCCTTTCTTCTGTTCGATTACCTCCTTTCTATTCAACACTGTACGAACAAGTTGGACTCACTTCAAATAATTTCTTCCATTTAGTCTGCATAATCTACAGTTCTCCAGATTGCTGGGATTGGGTATTCCCTGTTTCTGGGGTTGGGTTCACAACTTCCTCTTCCCTTGACATTATAGCAAGAAGGTGTGATGCAGCAGCAATGCAGACTGCCGTCTTAGGGTTTATAGTGCGCAGACAGAACTTTCTAGATCGGAAACTCGATACCATCTGGAAAATTAAATTAAATAAAATCTTATTTTATTATTTTAATACAAAGAGATCATACAAGATATATACAGGAGACCTAAGCTATTTTAGAAAATATAACAACTCTATTTTATTCTAGGATCCCTTGATTTATAGGATTGTTCCTAATTTTTCAAATTTGTACAAATTACAAATTTCCTAATTTATTCTTTCCTAAAATACTATTTGATTTCTCATACTTACCGATATGAGCCCGGGTAAGAGCTTACGTTCCGCAAGGACCTTCAAGCCTTGTTTTGACATATGGCCTAGTCTGCGATGTCACATTGTCGTTGATTCCTCTTGACTAGCTGATGCAACTGATACATCTGCTTCTTGCAACGTATCTCCCAGAAGCATGTCTAGGTTTGCAGCAAACTTCTCTGCTTTCATCACAACTAGAGCATCTTTCACCACTTTCAAGATCTCACCTTCAATATGAGTCTTGTAACCGAGGTCATCCAATTGTCCATTAGACAATAAATTTTTTCTCAAGCCCTTCACATGTCGTACCCCTTGAATTGTGCGAATAGTACCATTGTACATCTTTAATTTGAAAGTACCGATTCCAGCAATTTCCAAGGCGTGATCATTACCCATGAACACAGATCCTTCTTAGATAGGTTTATAAGTACAAAACCAATCTCTTCGTGGAGTCATGTGCCATGTTGCTCTCGAATCTATTATCCAAACATCAATGAGCTGCTTTCCACCTTTGGAACCAACAGCTGCTTCATTATACAGGATTTCTCCATCATCAGAGGTACTGGCAACACATCCTTGAGATGCAGTTGCCTCAGGAGACTTCTCAGCATTTTTCTTCTTCCAACAATCTTTATTCAAGTGTCCTCTCACAGTAGTAGCATTTGAAATTCTTCCTTCCTCGAGATTTTGATCTACCATGATTTTGACTCCCACTGGAGCCACGCTCTATTGATCTTCTTCTCACCACCATCAAAGCCTCTGCTTGCTTGGAATTTTCCAATCTATCTTCCTTATTCTTGCGCCTAGATTCTTCTTCTAGAGTAGCTTCGGCAACATCTTCAAAGAGTAGATATCCTTCAATATTAGTATTTGTTATGTTGATAATGAGTTGATCATACGAGTTTGGTAGGCTCCGAAGTAGAAGTTCTGCACGCTCATTTTCAACTAAGTTAAAATCTGTTGTTGATAGTTGGACAAATAAGGTGTTAATGTGGTCCGTCATCTATGTAGACTCACTCATCCGAAAAGTTTAGAGTTTCCGCTTCAAGAATATCCTTATGTGAAGAGACTTCACCTCATATAATTTGATAAGGCATCCCAAATCTCCTTTGTTATATTTTTTTTCGTAACACTAGATAGCCCAAATCTCCTTTGTTATATTTTTTTTCGTAACACTAGATAGTACGAAATCTGCCATTACTAGGTACAAATTTGCGATAGCGTTGCAGTCAATTTCCTTCCATTTCTGATCCATCATTTCCGCGGGTCTTCCTTCAATTACATCTAAGCAATTGTCATTTCTCAAAATTGCCTTCATCTTCAATTTCCATAACAAGAAATTATTCCCATTGAATTTCTCTATCTCGTACTTTGTTGTCATGGTTGTATATCCACTTATGCAACTCTCACTTATGAATAGTATTGTCTCTGGAACAATAGTAACGAAATAAGAGCGTGGCTCTGATATCACTGTTGGGTATCAAACTACTTACACAAGAACTCAATTAAAGTAGAGAAGAGAAAAATTGAATAGCAACAATAGGTAAAAATGGAAATTTTACAATAGGAGGAAAAATTGCATACCCTTTCTCTATACTCAAGAAAATAATGACAATCCTTTCTAAGAAATACAAATAATAGAAAAAGAAAGAAGAAATTTTGGGATTACTCTTAAGAAAACATTGTGTTGCTTTTATAGCATAAAAAGCAAGTCTCTAAACACGTTTTATGTGGACTTTTCCCCCTTCTCATATCTTCCCATCCTAGAAATTTACGCTGGATGATAAAATTTTGAAAGCATTAGAGGAAACCTAAACAAAGTTTATCCTTATGAAATTCATTCTCTCAACCTTTCATTGTAGAACTCTTTCAATCTCCATGATCGCACCAGTTTGAGAAGATAGTTGAAACCTAAACAAAGTTCTTTTATTCATATTTTCTTATTTTTCGTGAAAAGTTTTGGAATATTTGTGGAGCAACAATGCTTTTTCCTGTTCTTGATTAATTGTTTCATATTAATTCCCTGCACACTTGCATCACAGTAAATGACTTTTTGAGTGAACCAAAATTTTATTATTTTGTATAAAAACTTTGCTTCCTCTAAAATTCGTCTAAACTATCTTTACAATTTTCAGATACATCCAGGTGCCTTTAAGCAAGGAGGAATTCCCTTGGTTGCTTGTTGCATTTCTGCCGCACAACAAGCCAGTGTAAGCGGCATTATATTATTTGAATTTAGTGGAGATGTACAGTAAACAAAAACGCAAAGTCCTCTGCCAACGTGAAAGACTGGAACAAGTTTGATAAGAAAGTTTAGCTCTGAAGTGAAATAAACGAATTTTAATGTTTGAGAACTTTAAAAATTGAATTTGTATAGTTTGTGTCTTTGTGTTTACTATGCTTAGGATGAATCAAAAGAAACCAGTATCAGTTAATAAAGTAATGAGGGTGTTCTTTTTGGAGTAACCCTAGCTATTATATTACATTAATAACGTGTTTTAGTTAATAGGAATGAGTCGTTTTTAAAGGACTTTTTTAGTAACCCTAGATTATAGTGTTTTCATGCTTATATATTTTATTCATATTTCGAGGTATGAACAAGTACAACTTAAACATCTCCCTGTGTCTTACTGAGTATCTGATAAATGGTTACAGTCTCAACACGTGTGGGTGAGGAGAGCACAGAGACCTGTATTTAGGTTTAGTAGCCAACTAACTCACTAACCATTAGTTTGTGTCTTCAAATTTCACTGCTTATTTTTCATGTTCATATATGACAGGTTCCCATTACTGTTCACTTTGATCATGGAACTTCAAAGCAAGATCTTGTCGAAGCTCTTGACCTGGTAATTTGAATTTTTACTTGCACAACAATCGTACTGACAGAACCATTTCAATCTCAAAGATGATGCAGCATCTTTTGTAGGTTGTAGTTATTGCTCTGTTATCTCAACCGCTATGTGAATGTAATGATTCCAGGGATTCAGTTCTGTTATGGTTGATGGTTCACATCTTTCTTTCAATGAAAATGCTGCATACACAAAATTTATAACATTACTGGCGCACTCAAAAAATATGCTGGTTGAAGCTGAGCTAGGAAGATTGTCAGGGACAGAGGATGATTTGACAGTAGAAGAATTTGAAGCCAGACTAACAGATGTGAATATGGTTGCTACCTCTCCTCTAGGCTATTAAAATGTTCTTATGTGATTTTCTAAATTCATTTCTGCTTGTTGCATCAATTTCAGGCATCAAAATTCATAGATGAGACTGGAATAGATGCTTTGGCAGTGTGTATCGGAAATGTGCATGGAAAGTACCCTGCAAGTGGTCCAAATCTCAGAGTTGATTTGCTTAAGGTAATTATACATTTGTGTTTTCTATTCTTTACTCTTTTATTGGTAAGTTCTTCTCGGAAAAAATCAAAGTGAAAAGTCCAGCCCATTGCTATGTGATAAATTTTAGGAAAATTGCAAAAACCAGACTTCTAGGCCGAATACTTCCAATTTAAGAAAAAACTAGTTAAGAATGTTCGAAGATTGGTGTAAATCAGTTATGTATTTTTTTTAGCATTTTTCTCACAACATGGAAGTGTGTATGTGTAGTATAAACAACAGTTGAGGTTCTTTTCAATTGTGTAATTTTGCCACTGTACCATGTTTAGGAGCTGCATTCTTTGAGCCTTAAGAAAGGAGTTTATCTGGTGCTTCATGGTGCGTCTGGTTTGAGCAAAGAACTTGTAAAGGTACAGTCGCATAAACAATAGATTTTGGAAGTTGGTTCTATGTTTTGGTCTAGTTTGTTTTGCACTTTATTATAAGAGCTTCTTGATTTTTGACAGGAATGCATAAATCTTGGTGTTAGAAAGTTCAATGTCAACACTGAAGTAAGAAAAGCGTACATGGACTCCCTCATTACCCCCAAGAACGATCTAGTTCATCTCATGGCTTCTGCAAAGGAAGCCATGAAAGCTGTGGTTGCAGAAAAGATGCATCTCTTTGGTTCAGCAGGAAAGGCATAATTTCTACAAATTTACTTCATATTATTTTGGTATAATGTTTTCTCTTGTATTAAGGAATATCAATGCCTCATGAATTCGTTATATTTTTTTTCCTTCAGCTCAACAATGCTTTCTAAATCCCTAATCACCTTTCTTTTATTATTCTTTTCAGAAATCTGAGTTTCTTTTATTGTTACATTTTGAGTAAGTTTGTTACAACATTTTTTTTAATTATACTTATATTTTACTCTTTTACCATTATAATATTTTTTAAGTATAATGTTTTTAAATTTTAAAGGACAGTTGTATAGAGAAAATAGTAATATAATATTTTTAAATAAAGGAGAAGTTCGTGTTATATATATATATATATATATATATATATATATATATATATATATATATATATATATAGAGAGAGAGAGAGAGAGAGAGAGAGAGAGAGAGAGAGAGAGAGAAATATCTAACCAGACATAATGTAATGATTTTATCAAGGAAATATGCGGAGAGAAGAAACATAAGTGTCCATGAAAATTATCTCACATATTTAATTGATTTAAAATTGTAGTTTTAAGATATTTCAAAACTACATAGTAATTTAAATAATAATAATAACAACAATAATAACAACATATTATTTAATATTATTACTAATAAATTTGAATAATAAAAAATTTAATTTAATTTTAAAAAATAAAATACAAATAATACTATTGAACATTTTTTTCTATTTGTTCCTTATATTTATATAATGTATCCTATTTAGTTCCTATATTATTAAAATCATTAATTAAATTTCTTCATTTTTAATTTAGCATCAATTTAGTTATTTCTATCAATCGGTATACACGACGTTATCTGAAGAAGGAAGAAATTAATCATATTTAAAATTTGATAGGAATAATTGGAATTTTAAATAATATAGAGATCAACTTGAATAAATTATATAAATAATAACCAAATTTACTAAAGTATAAATTATTATTTTTTTAAATTGGTTTGAATTGTATGAATGTTTCAAATAAAGTGATAATAAAAGTCGTTAAAATAATTAATCAATCAAGTCTATCACGCAGTTCTTATAACATTAATTGGTTTATTTATGTATTTAGATAATTAAAAAAATCATGATAGAAAATAACCGTTAGAATATATTATTTTATCTCCTTAATATATATATATATATATATATATATATATATATATATGCCTTTCATTTCTTTATTCTCTATTATTTTTCCTTTCTTGTTATTACTCCCCTTAATAAAAAAATATTTATTAGGATATTATTGACATAGATACTAAATTCACCACTATGTTAATTTACCAATCACACAAGTCCAAATTTCAAAGGCATGTTTGAATTAAATAATATTAATAACAGGGATACTAAATATCATATAAATAAGTTAAAGATTTAGATAAAAATAATTAGAAACTTTTTAAAAACTATTTAATTTTATAAATTTATCATAATTATTACATAAAGATGAAGATAGTAAAATTTTGTAACTGTTGGTGAAATATCGTTGACTACATAAGCTCGTAGCGTAGAACTTACTATTCACTTGGATAAGTTTTTCTGTACACGTTGTCAAGTGAGGTCTGATTGAGAAAGCGCTGTTTCAATCTCATCACAGCACACTATTCACTCACAGTCATATCTCTCTCTTTCTCTCTCTCTCTCTCTCTCTCTCTCTCTCTCTCCAATTCCAATGGCGGATCTGAGCCCCAAACCAGAGACCTTTGAGCTCAATAATGGCAGCATGAAGGTTCTTCTCACCAATCTTGGGTGCACCATTATCTCCTTATCAGTTCCCGGAAAAGATGGTTCTTTTACGTTTCAATTCCTCATTTTCAGCATCTTTCTTCTTTTTCCTTCACTCATGTTTGCGTTTTATTGATACATGCTCTCTGTTTTGAAGGATTGTTATCCGACGTCGTTCTTGGCCTCGACTCTCTTGAATCCTATCAGGTCTCGTCTCATTTTGCGGTTTCTTTTGTTAAAATTCGGCGTCAATCGTAATCTTAATCTTTTTTTGTTTTAGAAAGGCTTTCTTGGTTGATGGGTTTCATGTCTCCCTTTTCAAAATTCTACCTTTCTGGTTGAAACTATAGACTGATTGATGATCTGTGAGAAACCATGGACGTGATCTTTTTGTTACTACAATGTGTCTATTGTTATTCTTATTTAATCAAATTTCATGCTTGATATTATTAGTTAAAAAAGAAGATTTTGAATAAAAATTCTCTAAGAGGGACAATGTACATTACCAAACTCTATGTATAACAGAGTTTAGTTTAATTTCCATGAACTTCCATTATAATTCTTTTTAGGTACATAATGACATAGCTAAAATAACATATAAGTAGGGGACAATCTCAGTCTCATGAGCTTAGCCAGATGATTTTTAGGATTTAAATAGATTTAAACTCAAATTCTAAGATGATATTAGTGTCCTTGTTAGATCACTTGCCAATGTTTTAGTCTTGTAAAATCATGTCCTAAATATTTTGTCATGAGCATCGGATTGATTGTCCATTAATTGTTGAATATTCAATGTTAGCTTCCCTTGCTTTGTGTATTATGTGTGTAATCTTCAGTTTTACTCTGATGATTGATTTACTGAATTATGTTGCTCGTAAGCAGAAAGGTCTTGCTCCTTATTTTGGCTCCATTGTGGGTCGGGTTGCGAACCGAATCAAGGATGGCAAGTTTACACTTGACGGGGTTCAGTATTCTTTGCCTCTGAACAAACCCCCAAACAGTCTCCATGGTATCAATTCTGGGTTTTCTTAGTCTTCATTCGTGTTTTGTTTTGTCCAGGAGGTTGAAGTTGCCTATTGTGCATTTTGTACTTAAACTAATCCTTTCAGATTTTCCAGTCCATTTATTATAATAAAAGTTAAAAAAAGTGTTTTATAAAGAAAGAAACACACAATTTACAATGATCTATTGATTTTCTTTGCTGTTATCCTGATCCCTTATCCCGTCTACAAATTTCAGGTGGAAATGTTGGGTTTGATAGGAAGGTATGGGAGGTGGTTGAACATAAAAAAGGCGAAACACCCTCAATCACTTTCAAATATCACAGTCAAGATGGAGAGGAAGGTAGTGTCTATAATCCCGTTCTTCCCTTTTTGAAGTATCATTATGCTCTTCCTTTTACTTTATTTAGCTTTTGTTTTCTGTTATATAAGGTTATCCTGGGGATATCACCGTTACTGCCACTTACACGCTCACCTCTGGCACAACTCTGAGGCTTGACATGGAAGGAGTGACAACGGACAAGCCCACCATAGTCAATTTAGCTCAGCATACCTACTGGAACTTAGCTGGTCACAACTCAGGGAATATACTTGACCATTCAATTCAGATATGGGCTAATCATGTCACTCCTGTGGACGAGAATACCGTGCCAACTGGTGAAATCATGCCAGTGAAGGATACCCCTTTTGATTTTACATCTGAGAATAGAATAGGCAGCACTATTAGTCAGGTTGGATTGGGATATGACCACAACTTTGTGCTTGATTGTGGGGAAGAGAAAGATGGTTTGAGGCATGCTGCAAAAGTGAGGGATCCATCAAGTTCAAGAGTACTGAACTTGTGGACAAGTGCCCCTGGTGTGCAATTTTACACTGCAAACTATGTTAATGGTGTTCAAGGAAAAGAAGGTGCCATATATGGAAAGCATGCAGGGTTATGTCTGGAGACACAAGGATTCCCTGATGCCATAAACCAGCCAAATTTTCCATCTGTTGTCGTTCGTCCAGGTGAGAAGTATCAGCATAGCATGTTGTTTGAGTTTTCAGTTGAATGATGTTGTCGAGTAGCATAGCAATGAGGTAGACAACTTGTATTACATATTATGATTTAGAACCTGAACTTTGGCTTCTAAAACATCTCTTGTCTCAAGTTTGAATGTTCCATTACTGTGCTCCTAAATGTAGACATATTATATAGCAAAATGTTTGTAATTGGAAGTTATAAAACTTGTTTGTAATGAAAGTGAGGCACATCAATAATTCATCACTGAAATGGTATATGGTACACGTTGCAATATGGAGTAAAACACCTAACAATTTCTCTTGTTTCCCCAATTATAGGTGATTGTTTTTTGCCTTCTATATATTCATGTCCTATGGTTCAATATGTTCAATTATGAACCAGAATAAAGGATGGATCCTGAGACAAGGTAGCACTGTTTTGAAGGAACTTTAATAATAGTATTACATAGACAGCCATGAATCTTAAAAATATAATTAAAAGTAAAATATCGTAAATCAATTTTTTATAGGCATTTTATCATCAGATAAATATGAGGATTATTGAATAGGAATGAAGAGTCACATGATTTAAATTAACAAATGAAAATATATTAAAAAATGTGTTACTCAATTCTTTATTTTCAACATAATATGTGATGCTAAAAATGGATCATATGTTATTATACAGATTTTCTCTGAAGTTTAATGACTTAGTGACTTTACATTAATAAAAGATGTCGTTAACATCTTGAGCATTAACTTCAATTAACCTTTTTAAGTTATAACTTAAATTATACATTTAAATGTTAATTAAACTTTCTAAATCATATTTTCTTAAGTATAAATAGTGTAAGTTACCAAATCTTTTATGAAATTTGCTAAAGTATGTAGTGTTTCTTTCAGAAATAAACTAGAAAATTATAATTTCTATTTTCTTAAGATACACTTAAAATATTACCTTTTTTTTTCATTTGTTCATATATATATAACATAGGCAAAATAATTATATTTAGGTTTCCTTACAACGACAATTAGCCAAGGTTGATTATCAAAAAATGGACTTTTTAATCAATAACTGTTTTATTCTTAAAATATTGATATATAAATAATAAGTAACTTCTTATATAAGAAAAATAATTATCTTACAACAGACTCATCCTGTAAGATTAAAATAAGTAATATACATACAGGTAACATTTAGATTAGTTTTCAATATAAGAAAATATTATTAAATTTAAATACTCAATTACGTAGTATGGTATATTTTTAAGTTTGGAAAATTTTATTTTCACAACCGCTTATACTAAAACATCCATCTTTCATCTCTGGTTCCTCTTAAAGTTTAGACTTCATTTTTTAATGTTCTTCTTGTCAATGTTCTTTGAAACATTCCCACATAAGGTATCCTATTTTGATTTGTCTAGTTATTGATATCAAAACTTTCAATACTTGGCCCCTCCTTCACTAGTTTTCTAGATTTACCCGTGATGATTTTTAAAAAAAATGGCATTTTTTATCAAAATGATTAGTAAAGTAGTTTGGATGCAGAGACGAAGAACTGTTTCAATGCAATGGTTCTGTAAAAAACACCTTGAAATTTGCAATCATATATTGAATTACATCACATCAAGCTTGAAATAACCTAATATCTAAAATGCTGCTTGAGTAAAGCCAGATTCCATATCATCCACAAATTGAAATGAGGTCATATTTTGAGAAACCATACAATAAAATCATCTTACTTTGTCCTAACCAACTCAAGTGGTAATGTTTCCATTGCCAGCTGAAAGTTCAGAAAAGGAAAATTGCTAGTCAGAAACATGTCTTTGCTAGCATAAATAAAAAATCACACTTCAAAGTGAAGATTAATAAATGATCACAAATCTAACAAAAGATCTGCACCTACCCAGAGTCTTGGAGTTTTGGGGTCCGATTTTTTATGCAATTTACTTAGCTCTGACTGAAAGCTTATAACAATAGCAACTTTGAACTCTATTGAGAAGGGACTGCACCAAAGTAATAGCATTAACATCAAACTTAGTTGATTCAGTATGCCATAAACATGAGTTTTTTACAAGCACAAAGTAATTCATGAGAAGATATTTATGAAATGAAAAGTGCTCAACATGAGAAAGTTCCAAACACATAGGAGGAGAATCACCATGAAAAGGACACATACCCCGCTAAGGTTGTTGGACAGGTCACAAGACGTGGTAGTATTACATAAATAGGCAGTGTCAAATGTCGGCATACATCTCCATCTGCTATCTGCCAAATAAACATACAATTAACAGCTTATTTTGAAATGACATGCTCCAATACAACACAAATCCAACATCACTTGCCTGTGTTGTTTGAATCAGAGAGGTTTCAGTCACAATTTTCTCCCCAAGAAGAATGGACTCAACTCGAAACAACTGAATGTCAATTGACTGAATTGGAACTGCAGATGCTTCTACAGTTAACTCACCACTAATAGGACCAGACAAAGAACACTGAGTGGAGATTTTTCCTGTCACCCAAAATCCACCTATTCAAGAATATCCTGGTTGCATGAGCCACAGACCTTTTCTCGTTGACATTTATGTTTACATAATACAATTCAACCTTGTCAAGTGCACTATTGGTGTATTTTTTCATGTAATCTTAACATGTAACACAACAAGGTTAATATCGCCACAGAATATGAGTGAGTTATAACTTGTGATGTGAGATATTAAGGTAAATCAACATACCAGATTTTATTTCAGGAAGTAGAGGATGCCTTTGAGTGTCTTGAGTAATGTAAAAGATTACCATCTCTGGAGAAAGTGGCCTTTGTAGAAGATCAGCTGAATTTTCCACAAAAGAGAGACTAGTAGTTTAGTACTTTATTTGTTCACATATAAAAATAAAGAATAAAGATTTGGGCCAAACACAATCTTACCTTTATCACTTTCAACAATGAACTCCATTGTTGCTGATAATGATTTATGCAAGTATCCACGAGGTATATCTACAGTCACCAAATACTATAGAGGCTATCAATCACCGACCTTATAAATTATGGAAAAAAATAAAAATAAAAGTGAAAAGGAATAGGATTGCAAAATGATGTAATTGTGATCCTTTGACAATGCCAAACTTTATACCACCAGTGAACTATAAGGCCTCATCGAACCTTGTTACCAAAATGATGTGCCTTTTTCATGTTCAGTGACACTGTAAGTGTAAGTGTGTAATGAAAACAATTTATATTGGAAGCAGATAAATTTTTAACTCTTCAGTAAATATCAAGAAAAGAAATGAAAAATAATATTAGGACTTTCATTGTGAAGATCAATTGCCCAACAAAGCACTTTGTAAGAAGATTTTACCTGGATGCTTATATTTGTACCATGGAATGTCTCATAAAATCTTTCTAAATTTTTATCCCGCAGATTCAAAGAGAATGGTATCTGCCATAAAGATTGCAAAACTTACAATGAATATTACCATAAGAAAATAGGTCACATAAAAGTATTAAATTGAGAAGTTCAACAATAGAGTATCTAAGCTTTGCCCAAAATGTTTCAGATCCAATTAGTTTAGTGGGATGGTATCATATTTTTAGCAAAACTATGAAATCATATCCAGAGTATTCCAGACCACTTAATAGCATATAAACACATATAAACGAGAACAGAGAGAAAGTACGAAGAATGAACAAGACAGCTTCTAAACAAAGAAATGTTAACAAAAGTATTAAAACTGAATCAAGTTTTGCATGCTAAATTAAATACTAACAACACTTTAGAGCTCCTTCTCCTTCAAATTCAAATTCCATTGCTTTTACCAAGATGAATTTAGATGAGAAAAAGACACATTTGATTGGTAAAATCATATAAAAGAAATATCTACCAAAAATAATGTATGAGACAACTTTTGAAGCATTAATTAAAAGCTTATGGCTTAAACTTTGATGCCTGTAGAGAACTCAGAAAATGATTTTGAAGGGAAATTCACCATATTTAAGTATAATCCTCTATTAGAACCACAAGCCAGTAATATATGTTTTTAAGATTATTTTCTTATAGAAGCTATAATGATATAAATTTAACAAAACACCAAAAACAAATAAATGAAAGAAAAATCCAATTTGAGTATCTCAATCTTTTTTCCAGTTCACTGCAGATAATATATTTATCTCAAGAAATGCAAGAAAATAATCGTATTCAGGTAACTAAACAAAATAAAATTGCTTTGAATAGGCACTTTCATTCATTTGCTACTGATACACTACCTCTGATGTACCCATACCAATCTTTCCAGAAGATTTAACCCCAATGACCCTATTCCTGTTACAAGCCAATCACAAGAATCATGTACACTTGTCCTGTGAGCAAAAGAATTTAGAAACATCGTGAAAGAATAATTTCAGATTTTTTTCTCTAACACCAATACCGAGCTTACTAGCTTAGCTACAGAGCATCTTAAATGAAAGTGATGGATCAAAGGTACAATTGCAACTTTTGACATGAAAAAAATTTAAATGATACAGCATACATTCATGAAGGTTTTACCCACTGCAGATAGATTGACATGTACTATAGCTGAGTTATAGGTAGGCTAAGGAGAACAGGTTAAAACCATATTAAAAATTCAGATTGACTTGACAAAAATGCAGAGTTATCTATCGAACGTGTGGTATAAGGATAACTATCATAGTTTACTTATCCAAAGAGACCATATGTTTGGTAAATTGAATATGATTGAAAAACATTGTCAATCATTTAGATACACCTCTAGATCAAATTTTGAAACCAAAGAAAAACAACCACAACAGTGAAAGTGTAACATGAAATACGATCTCCAAAGTCAACAACAATGCATAAATTTGGTCTTTTTGTGGCAACAATACATTATCTTTGGATAACTAAAGATCAAAGATATTCTACTCATAAGTTAAACACAGAATTTCATATATAAAAAAATAATCATAATTAGTTTTTTTGACAGGCCAAAATTCATTAAAAGTGGAACTAAAGATGTGATCCATGCAACCAAACACAAATTGCATCTAACAGCATAACCTCCTGTTACCGCAAAAGTATTATATATGAAAGCACTAAAACAACAAAAATCATAATTAGTAATTTCCGCATAAATGCACAAAAATAACTTTGAAAACTTACACAATTGGAATGGGCTTAATAACGCCATAGAGTGATTCAACAACCCCAGCTGATCCTCCACGAACCTTCAACATGGCATCAAAACATGTTTCAAAATCAAAACGACCCAATGAGAATTCCCTTTGGCTTGAAACAAATGAGTGATTTTGAGCATAAAGTTGACATATTTTTCCCATTTCTGAACGATAAAAAAAGAGGGTACCTGCAAGTTGACGGATCCTTTGACAGTGAGGCGAATTTCATAGTGGGAAATTGAAGACTGAGCTTTGACAACGATTTTGCCTTCCAGAGTTTCCTGGAAAATCAAATCATGAGCAATGTTGAAAGAGAGAGAGAGAGAGAGAGAGAGAGAGAGAGAGAGAGAGACAGCTTTTACCGAAGGGCGATAGATACGATTGGGACGAGAGAGCTTGAGTTCCACGGACATGGCTGCCAACTCCCCTTTTCAGTCGGTGGGTTTAACAATAACTTTTTTAAACTAAACAAAACTTCCTACAAACTCTTGATTTCGTAACTTTTTTTAAAGATTTAATTATTTATTTACTTTTTACAGTTAACAAATTCATTATAATCTTTATTATTTTAGTTCTTATATTTAAAAATTCTTTTTTCATTCCTACATATAATATTTTTAATATCTTTTATTTCTTACATTTATTATTTTCAGTTCACTGTTTTAACTAACCTAAATGTAAATTGATTATATGATTGGGCTATATGAACATTAATATAAATTTATATTGAACATAGTGTTTCAGGTATAAAACGGTCTAATAAAATTTGAAAAACAATGTTAAAATTTACTTTGAGTATGACTATATTTAACATAAATTTACATATAAAGTTTGATATAAATTTATATTGGATATGATTACATCTTACATAAATTTTGATGTTTTTTGTAAATATATAATTTTGTGTTATTTAACAATCAAAACTTATATAAAAAAATTCATATATATTAATTGTACTAAGTACAACTTAATTATATATGATTATTAGAATACATTAATATATATCAAACTAATTATAACACATTTAAATATTTATTAAATGTAACAAAATTATCCTAATTTATATAAGACTAATTATATTTACAAAGTTTATAATCATAAATTTTATACAAAAATCATGATTCATTATTTCCTTATTTATAAAATATCATGTTTAGATAATGATGATAATCTTAAAATACTTTAAACAATAATTTAAGTGTCATCAACATAAAATACTTGATAAAAATAAATAAATTTAATTATTTCTAATAAAAATTAGTAATACTCGCATAAACGGTTATTCTCATACAGTACATTAGTAATCATATTCATATGAGTCTATTTGCCTATTATACTAAAATAAAAATATAATGTTATTTTCAAAGTTTATATATAACAATAATTATGACCTTAATAATTTTTTAACCTTGGGATAAATTAAGTGTAAATTTTTTTATTTGCTTCTTCCACTTAAAATAAAGACAAATATTAGTTAATATATATTTAGACTTTTAAAACTTAATAAACAAAAATAAAGTTATCCTTATAATCGATGGCGGATCTTCTGGAACCGAGGGCGTGACCCCCAAAGTTTTATAATTCTCATGTAATTTATGATTTTGTCGCCCTAAACTTAATGAACATTTAATATATTTACTTGTATATTTATAATTTTATCCTCTCAGATCCTCCTCAGCTTTTATAACTCTCATCTAATTTATTATTTTGTCCCTCTCAAACTTAATGATCATTTAATATATTTAAGTATATATCTACAATTTTATCCTTTCACTCTTTCATCTTCTTTCTTCCTTTTATATTTATTTATTATTTATTAATAATATATTATTTAGTCTCCCTAAGATTAATGGTCAAGATCCATTACTTGCTTATAATAGGTTTTTTTATTTCTTAGTTGGGTTTTCGGTGCAGTAAATAGAACTACATCACTGTGTAATCTCTTGTAATGATCACAATCAACTGTCAATGAGACCTACATTATATAACAAACAAATTAGTTATAAAAAATTTAATATAATTAAAATAAAAAATTAAAAGATGAATTCTTCAATGTATGGAACCAAGTATAAATATTTTTTGGAGTTACTCATTCATGTTTGCATATATTGTGGAATTTGAACTTTAGTGTTTTCAGATTTTTTAATAGATTGAGACTTAATAAATCCATATATTTTATATTTTTCTTGTTTTATACTCAATTTGTCAATGTACTTAACAATGAATTATAAGTTAAATATCATATATATTATAATGTTACACATAAAGAAACTAGGATTTACATGACCCATAGTTGTACTATAGAAATGTTCAACATGCAGTTTCTCTGAACAATCTCTAATGCATCAGGCAAGGAAACATACAGTAGAACAAGAGAATTATCAATTCCAAAAACTCTTCTATCTCACTATATTTGAGCTGGGGGGTTTTCAACCGTGGTAATATGGCCAGAAACATAGATATTGGATCATCTTTAGTTTCTTCCACATCCTCATCAATAACAACATAACCTACTTTTATAGAATTATAAGAATATATATTACAACATATATTACCTTTGCTCATGCTGAGAGTGACATCACCAAATATCTTGTCCAATCCAAAAATGTGTCACTTGTTTGTCATACTAGTTGAACCTCTGTATTCCACAAAGGCACTGGAACAACATCAACAACTTTATCAATCACTACCCGTATCCAATCTGATTGTAGAGGGACACCATGGATGATTGGGTCACCCTAAAAAACTTGATCAAGTGCCACTAGACGCGGGGGGATCATCTTCAACATATAAATCACACTTGTTTGGTGCATTAGTGTGAGTATATTCTCCAGAGGGACCTTTATTATTGACTCAAACAATATCATCTTGAATTATATAAGATGTTCCTTGAGTCTACAAATGCGAACAAGCAAGAGATTCAAGTTTTTCATCAAACTCTTGTTGTAAGAACTAACGTATTTGATTTAGTTTTTCTTCAAATTGCATCTTCATTTTGTGTAAGGCCTCCTCACTGTAAGATTCGGTAGTGGACCTCCGTGATGCTAGACAAAAGTAATTATAAAGGCCTCAAGATTCACTAGTACCGCGCACACGTCCTAGGTGTTTTGGTTTTCCTATTGTCATTGTCAATATGTCTTCTTGACTATAGAGAACAAATGAGCTTTGAATGACCTACGTAACTAAATCATCCTGTAACAAATCAACAATAGTTAAGTCGCACACTAAATTATGTAGGAAGCAAGTGTAATTAACATGTTATATATATTTTGACTTACAATTTTCTCAACAATGACTCGTGTGGACTCAAAGCTCATTTGTCCATAAGATCTTATGCGAGTTGTCTTCCACATCTCATAGTGGGAGGGTGGAGATGTAAGGTCAGCAGACTCAAGTTCTACTAACTCTGCTCTAGCCTTCATGAGTCGTTGCTCCAACAATGTATACCCACCCCACGATAATAGATGGGGTGTATCATTCAGCTTTTGATATTTCTGGATAGCTAGTCTTTTATCCTACAATGCAAATAAGAAAATTAGAGTAGTACAATTAATGTAAGAATAACTAACAAAACTATAATCAATCCTCCTTACTAATTTGATACTTTAAGCAAAAAAATTCATCTTGATGTTTTTCAAATATATACTCTCGTGTCAAGAAAGTATTGAAGTCCCTTCATCTAGTCACAATGGATGATAAAATCTTTTTTCTCATCACCTCAGTTTTAAGAATGTCAAAATCTTACTATCAAATTACAAATAAATGTTAAATTCAATTATTAATATATAAAATATTCAATAAATGTGAAATAGTTAAATATCCTACCACATGAGGTTCTTGTCAATCTCCTCAACATCCTCATAAGGTGAAATAATAATAGAAACATAATATTAAGCTAAGAGTCTCAAATAGCTCATAAACTTTGTAGCATTTAGGTCTGATGCCTTACCAAAATGTGAATCGACTTAAGTTTGTTTCATTTATTTAGCAACACAGTTCGTTGTCAACCCCTTCAACTAGGTGACAGATCTACCTCCGCTCCTACCACTACCAGACATTGAATTGGACATAATTCTAAACAAAAAACAATAATTAATAAATCTCAACAAAATGAATACATATTTATATTTTAAAAAATATATACAAACAACAAAAAATATGAGACTCAAACAAATAAATTGTAGAAACATAACAATGCAGTGTATAAATAGACAACCACAAACAATAATAATTCAATTTCAATAATAATACAGTTGAGACATTCATGCAATATCATGATTGAGATTCCAAAAATAATCACGAATTCAATTTAAACATAAAACTAGAAACATAAATTAATAACTTCAAAGATATCCAAGACGTTTTAAGCTCGAATTCAATCGAAGAGAGATGTCAATCTTTACAAATGGAATACAATGCAGGTGTTATCACCTCCTGATTAGAAAATATTCTTAGAGGTGTTATAGTGATCGTTGTCCTCGTCGACTCAAAAACTCTGACACGTGCAAAGAAGAAGAAAAAGTGGATGAAATGAAATGCAAAATTTACATCAGACATTAAAGGGACCAATGTAAAAATTTTTACGCCAGGTGATATTCAGACGTAAAATGTAGTATTTACATCGACCCCTTCAAGGTTCAACATAAATTATCGCCCTATTATTTTCAAAAATGTTACCACTCTTTCTTAAAGTTGATTATTTTATAATTTGACAAAAAAAAATATGATATAAAAAAACCTATTTTACACTAGTATTATAATAATAAGATGAATAATTAAACTTTTTTAAAATTGAATTCTTAAAGATAGATTATAAAAATAACTCAAAATCGTGAAAAAAAAAACTAAACATTTCTAGTGGTTTTATTAATTTTGGAGACTCAATTCCTAACATTATAAAAGATTAAAACATGATACAAATATTTTCAGAATAACAACTTGATTAAATTTTCTTCGACATTTAAAGAGCCTATTGATAATTAAACCTTTTAAAGATGATAGTTGTAATTTATCTTGATTTGACTATAGCATAGAACACATCAAGTTTAAAAAAAAATGTAAGGGTAAAAATAATTTACTCCAAGTGTTTCAGAAGCTTAAACCAAACTGGTTTATGTTTTTAATGCAGTTTCTACTTTTCAAACCACAACTCAAAAGTAGCAAGATAGTAAACCAGAACCAGGGTATTGAAAATTATTTGGAGCATATGGAAACCATAAATTGGTCATCAACATCACATTCAAATGGAAGAGGATGCATAGAAGTTTCGTTTATCTTGTGCTAGAATCCACAACCAGTTTTCTCAGAAGATTTAAATGACAGCAAAATAGTTATACAAACTATATGATTTGGAAAACTGTTCATACTACTGAACTAAATATAGGCATAATAAGGGAGATGATGAGAATGATGCATCATTTTTTCTTGGCAATGAACAAGCCCCATATTTGTTCACCATCTGCACCCCTCATCTGCGTGGCCTTCCATCTTTCACTAATTTCATTGAAGTCTTCCTGAAACCAATGATTCCACCAATGAATGAATGCTTTGAAAATAAATCATAGAAGTTACCAATTTTGACACTCTCCTGTTGATTGAAATTTATGTGGGAGCAACATTGATTTCCTTCAAATAAAATCCTCAAAATCTTACTAACATTTCCCTTAACTAAAAATATGTAATACCTCCTTGTATATAAGATTCTTTTGATGAATTTGTGTTCCTTTTTATAAGATATTTTCAAATTGTTTCTTGTATTAGTTATTGTTTTGCTAAAATATCATTTATTATTTTTTCAACTTTTTAATAACTTAAATACAAATGCTGTAAAATAGTAAGATAAATTGATTTTTTTTCTCTAATGAATACTAAAAAAATGAATTACATTATCCTAAAACATGTTTAATTTTGGTTATAAATTTGTAGTGACGGAATTTGTGAAGAATATTATTTTCGTCGCAAAATCAAACATTATAGAAATTTTATGACGGATAAAATATTATCTTAAAGATCGATAATTTTGTCACCATCTAAATGATGAATATAAGGATAATTTAAAAAATAGTATATATATATATATATATATATATATATATATATATATATATATATATATATATATAGGAATACTTTAGAAAAGAGAAAAAGAAAAAAAATCATCCCACCTCCGAAAAGTCATCAATGAAATCATTCTTGTTGCTCTCAAGGGCATTTAACTCCTGTTGCAGTGTTTTCATGAACTGAAACACATAAGTATTCAAGTAAAAAATTGTTAGTATTATCATAGGGAAAATATACTAATTGCCAATGAAGCAAAGTAAAGCATTATCATAGGTTCTCACATACCAAATTAGATCGATCCTCGGCAATGACATCATTAAATCCAGCATTCTCGAGCATCTGTGCATGATTTAGAATATAAGAAGCATGCCATGTGCAAGAAATATCAACATGAATAACAAAGTAAATGCAATTTCATGGTGTTTTTGGTGGTTATTCTTCCATCAGAATTGGAGTTTCATCTTGATAACTTGAATAATGTATAGAAGTTTATATTCAAGATTAATGTAGATTCTATAAAGAGAACAACACAAAATATTTATGAAAAATGCTGTCATACCTGACAATATGTTTTCATCTCATGGATATTATATCCTCCTTTTTGTATGTAGTTAGCATATCCTAATGATAGACTTCCTACACTTTTGCAGTAATCAGTGATTAGAAGTGTACCTCCAGGCTTCAACCATTTGTAAAATGATCTAAATAGTGATGGTTTATCCTACTCAAATCCACAAAAATTTGCAGAAAACAGAAGTTAGAAAATATGAAATGAACTGAAGCAACAAAAGGGTGTGGCATTAACCAAAGAAAAATTAGAAAGCCAAATATGGTTCCTTACTTTGATGTGTAACAATGTGTCACGGGAATAGATTACATCAAATGTATTCTCAGGGTATGATTTTTTAGTGCAATCGGCACATTCAAATTCTACTGAGCATTTGAGTCCAATTGCACGTTCAATGGCAAGAGAAATCATGTTTATGGAGAGGTCAATGCCAACCACCTCAACATCAAAATTTTCAGCCATGTAAATGTCACCTCCCCCAGTACCACAACCAACATCCAGAACTTTCTGACCTGGTTTTAGTCCCAACTTTGCCACAAATTCCCTTGTTGTTTCTGCACAAGCAATAAGCAGTTTCAATTCAGAAACATCAGAAATCTAATATGATTGATTCCAATAATAAATGATTGACAGCTTCAACACTTTAATTAGTACACTGCACATTAAACTTTTCAGAAAACATAATCCAAAATAAGATATATATATCAGTGTAAGAATGAGATATAATCACAATGAGAACAATATTACTTCAGAAAAACACATTCACAACAAAACTGGGAATAAAGGATTTATTGTTTCTTTCTTTCAGATCAGTTTATTTGCCAGACATCCATTATTTTATGAATCCAAATCACCATTTTCCTGAAGGAAAAGGAAGTGTCACAAAACCTTATTTGACTGCACATAACCTCTACAATGATTTGGTGTTACTTTTAGAAGGCACGTATCAAACATTTGATCCACTCCATGGCCCAGGTAAAATAATCAGAGGACATCATTGAGGAAGATAATTTTTCTCTCTCAATTTAAATGAAAGGAAAACTAGTTGCATAACAAAGCATATGATAGTGGCAAAACATACCAAGGCCTCCTGTGCTCACAAAACCTTGGCCAAAAACACTCTCATAGAGTAAAATATCATTGCGATTATACACAACACTGTCCAAGAACCGCTGGAACCCCCTATCATCTTGTGATCTCACTTTTTGCCATATCCAGCAAATCTGCATGATAGGTTTACCAATTTAATCAGATATTTCCAATCAATTTAATAAACTAAAATAAGATATGTAATCATTAAAGAAACAGAAACCATGTTTTGTTACCTGGTTTTGATTCTTCTTGTTTCGGACATAAGCTCCAATGCATTTACACCCAACAAGGGAAAGTTCAAAGGAATTGCTCATATCATCACTCATATGGCACTCTTTATACACCTACATGAAAATAAGAAAGATAATCAAAACTAAACCCTCTTATAAGTTATGTTTGGAAAAGTTTTACTATAAATACTTCTAAAAAATCAAAAAATAAATAAATTTCTTAAAAAATTAAAATTAATTTATATATAAGTTCATGCGTAGATAGATATTCTATTATATAATTTGTTTATATTTTTATTTTCAACTTTACATTAACTAATTTTAGTTTATTAAAAGGTTGATGCCAACCTCATTTTAAACAAACCAACCTTAGTGTAAAATCTAGGTTCCCTATAGTGAGTTGGGTTGTATTTTCTCTTGGAATCTCCAGATTGATGGAAACATGATTCTCTGAAGAAGACATAACCACCTACTTTTAACCATTTGATCATTCTTCCAGCTAATTTCTCAACCTGAAATGAATAAAGGGAAATGTAAAAGTCTTACTTTATTAGGAGGGAAAAACACTTTGTCACTATTTGTATATTTCTCACAGTGAAAATCATCATGGTTAGTTTTTCTTTTCGTCATTTTGGCATGAGAATCAGTTACTTTCAAATTCACCAATAGACTATAGCTAGAAACATCAATACATCATTGTCACTGATGGCAGAAGGAAAAGGAGTGAAGCATGACCAAAAGAAGCCATAAAACACAGGGTAAAATTGAGGAACTCAATAAACTCCAAATTAACATCAGGATTCTACAATCTGGTCATTTTCACTTGGAACCAGAAGCATCATGTTATCTTCAACATATCTAAACTGAACGCAGAACCATGAAAAATTCTATGCTTTAATATTGTCCACACAAAAACTCACCTCTTCATCTGAAAGATACATGAGCAACCAATTTGAGAAAATCAGATCAACTGATCCTTCAGAAATATGCAAGTTTGGAGATGTGACATCAGCACACAAGAACTTGACATTGTTGTGGTGCCCATTAATGCTTTCATTCTGCAGAAAAATGATGTGAGATGAGAAATTAAGGTCATTACATCATAATTAACATGGGTAGAACCATTTTTTTATGTTGAGAAACATAATATTAATTGATTAGAAATTGCAGTTACCTTCTTTATAGCACTCTCAATGAAATCCACAGCAAGTAACCGGCCAGCTTTCTTGGCCAATTCACCTGTGAATCTTCCAATACCTGCTCCAAGTTCTACAACTGATTTTCCTTCACATGCAGGTAGTAAGGACAAAACCTATGGACAAAATAAAGATGATGAGACAAAAAAGAACTCACTCTGAAAAGAAAACAACAAAGGGGTACTGATAAAAGGTACAAGAAGAAAGCTTGTAGCCTCTCGTTGCTTCTTACATCGAAAAGGAAAGTTGGCCAATAATTTAGTACTTCAACCTAACAACCACAACCTTTTCTGAACTTTCAAAAAAAATAAAATTATGCAAACATAAACAACCTCATACAATCTTACTAAGTATAACAAATTTGTCACTTTAGGAATTAAGGGTTACCGTCCTCTAACTAACATCCAAAATACTATTAGGCGCATGATAACAGAAGAGGCGATGACCCCTGAAACAAAGAATCCAAACATTTTTCTTTGACAAAGACCACTTTCTATGGAATCTTTTTCATCATTTACTTCAGTTTCAACGATTTACGTGATAAAAATTCAAAATTTAATATACAAAAATAAAAAAATAATTTAATATTTATTGTTTAAATCATCTAAAATTATTAATTTTGAGTTTAATATAATTACTTTCAATTTAATTAAACATTTATTTATCAATTAATTAAAAATCATTCTATATATGATTTTTAGAATAATTGTTACAAAACTAACAATCTTACCACACATAACAATTCACATTTAAGTTAACTTAGTTAAAAAAAATTACACTAATACATTGTAATTAAATTATTTTTCATGAACTGATTAAATTTTTAAATGACACACAATAAATAACCTCTAAATAAAAATGTTGTCTCATATATGTACACGAGATAAATATTAGTCATATTTTTTTACTTGCTTCTGCTACACATTTTCATTTGTTAAAATTCACAAAATTATATATAAATTATAATACTTGCCATTGAATTTTACGTATAATTTTATGAACCTTAAAATATTCCTAATAAAAAACCCTTTTAGTAAGTTTCTTATTGTCATATAGAATTTCTCACTCTGATTTCAGAGAGTATCTTTATAGTTTAATCTTTCTACTCATCAAAGAACTTTCATTTAGATTTAAAAAATTGTTTTTATGAAAACTCATTAATAATATATATTTTGTAATTATTTAACTCTAAGAACCAACGTAAATAATTACAGTGAAGTTTGAATATGAAAGATGAAGAAAAAAATGATTGAGTAAAAAGAGAAGTTCATTAAAGTGTTGAGTGAAGATATGATATATAATGATAAAAAGAACAGAGAATTAAGGATTTAGATGTGGAAAAGGAAAGAGACGCACTTCGGGTCTCTCTTCCTTGTCGAGATGAGAGGCGTTTGAATCCAACATCATTGATTCTACAGACAACTCTGTCGTGTGTTCCATCCAATAGCTTTTCTGAACGCAACGTTCATCCACACCACCACCTGCACATTCTCTTAATTCACTCATCATCCATATATCAGGTATGCTTATGAAGTAGTAATTAACCACAAGAATTCATGTTCATCACCTTGCACCATCGCCAACGAAGCCATCAATGGAGAAAACAAATCTTGAGAGACAAAGTTTGTTATGAGTTATACCTCTTCAACTTCTTCCGCCCTTATTTATAGAAAACAAACTTTCTTAGTACATGTTGCACATGGTATACCTGCCAAACCATCCACCACAATCTGATTCTGGTAGGTATATAAAGTAAAACGTAATTAACGAGACTTTGTTCCCGAGTTCAAAATCTTTAATTAACCAACCTTAAAACTTGTTTAGAATAAAAGAAAGTTTTAAAAAAATTAAACAACATATTATATATGAGTTAATTAATGTACCATGGTGATTCCTCGCATAAAATTTCACATCGTGAAACTTTGAGTTATCCTCCTAGTTTTCGTCATATAAATGTTAATAAATTTTACGAAAAAGGTAATTGTGTTCCTTCTTCGACAATTCTTTTAATTTGAGTGTTTTTGGAATATCTTTTATTGATCACACATAACTTCTCAACTAAGCTACCTGAGAAAGATCAATTTATTACAAAAAAAAAAAAAAACTGATTTAATAAAGAAGACTAAACAGTTTCATAAAAATGAAAAAATTTGGTAATTTATAAGTATGTATAACTTAATTTACTAAGATTTTGAATTGAAAATTGTATAGTATTTTTTTATATATATAATTAATTGATATCGTATTTATAAAAATCTCCTTATTATTAACATTCTTTAAAAATATCTAACAATTACGTAATTAATAAAATAGTCTAAAAATATATATTCTAAGTTTTCATCAAAGGATAAACACAAATTGAATGTTTTAACTGAGTTCATAAAAAAAATTATAAAACATTTTGATTTTTATCATGAAAAGAGAGTTTCAGTCACATTTCAATATATACTGTAAATTTTATATTATTTAAAAATGAAGACAAAAAAATTATATATATCTTTTTTTTTTCAACGCACGAAAATATATTTTAAAAATAAAATTACATATTAAAGTTTGAAAATAGAAAATGCACTGAAGAGGAGTAAATCCTTAAGTTGCTGATTTTTCTTTCATTTCAGTCTCAACGGGATCTATCCGGGTCCCACTTTCTACTGTGTAAAATCACTGTTCACTCAATCATTCTATGTTGTCCATCAATAAACCTTGTTTTCTTCGTGTTTCAGAATGCAAACATTACAAATCTAATATAGGTTATAAATTTTATTTTAATCAAATTATAATAAATTTTTACTACTTTGCTAATACAACCATGTTACTAAATTCATTCAATACTCACATAAAATTCATCTCAAATCACGATCCATGCTTTTGTTCTCTTCTCATGAAAAGTTTGTAGATTCATCACCCAATAGCGAAAATAAAGGAACCTTTTTCTTCAAAAAAGTGTAAAGGGGTGAAAACAGTAACATTGGTGTTGTTCAATGATTTGATACGTTTAGTCAATTAATCAAATGCAACAATGCCATTGGAAGTGCTCCACTTGAAGTGGAAAAAAACTTTTAGATTATTATAATGTAGATTATTGATGATTAATATATAGATTTTTTGTTCTTAATTAATTTTGATAGTTGCAAATTTAAGCATGTAACTTTCATATAAAATTCCATTCCATACAAATTAAACCTTTATTATCAAGACTTCCAACTATATTTTGTGTAAAATAAATTATTAAAATAAATATTTCAAACATCACACATTATAAGATATATTATACATTTAAAAATAAATGCCATAAACATTGTAACTTGTGATCACTAATATTTATACAAAACAGACAAAAACTAACGTGGAACATTTGACCATTTAAAAAAAATAATTAAATGATTGAAATATATATATATATATATATATATATATATATATATATATATATATATATAATTGACGAAAATCTTAGGAAAAAAAATGATTCGTAATAAATTATAGTTTTCAAAAAAAAAATCACTGAATAGATATTGTGAGATAATATTACTTAAACTATATTAAGAAAACAGAAAGTGAAACATAATAATGTTTATTAATATTATAAAAGATTCCATGGAGTAGAGACAAGAAAATGAATTATATGAGAATCTGAAGATTGAGGTTGAGATTAGAGAAAGAGACTTTATTGAAAGTGTTTGAGTCATGAAAATGAATGAAAAAAAGTGATGATGGAGACTTTGTTCCTTTAAATAGAGTCAATTTATGGAACTCATTAATGAAGACCTAACAAATATATATAAAGTCTATAATATGAAGAGTTTTTGGGAGGGGAAAGAGAAAATGAAGCTCAGAAAGAAACAATAATGGAATGTAGGGTACAAATAATTGAGAGGAACCACTGAATAATAATGAATGCATGCTTAAAAAAACAACAAAAAATAATGAAAACTAAATAATGTTTTTCATGTCAAAAATGTTTGAATTACATAATGAAAAAGTTTGCCATCATATTGGTACTAAAATAATGTCATTTTGAAAAAAAAAATACAATGATGCAATTTTTAAGAGATACATTAATACTTGGTTACATTTTTAATATATTGATAAAATATATGAAATTTGAGTATTAACTAAAAAAACATGATAAAGTTTATAAAATAATGATAATGAAATGGTAAGTATATTTGTACCCTTCACCATTAATTATACCATCCCTCTTTTTCTACAAAAATTATATTTGATTTGATGTTATTTGCAAGTTTGTGATGAAATAATTGAAAAAAAAATAAAAAACAAAAGAAATAGGTAGAAAGAAACAGAAGAAAGTGCAATGTGGCTAGAGGTGGGGGCTCTACCTCTAGCAGTGACAATGATTCAATGTTGTCTTTTATTTGGGTTTCTTTTTCACACAAAAATTAAAATAATACAATTTGATCAAGTTTCACCGTTAGTCCGTTACAGGTGCTCCACTCTTGGAATTCACATCATTATGTTATGACTTTTGTCTTCAATAATTTGTACCTTATTTAACACAAACATTTATTACAAATTAAAAAGTAAAACCTTTGTGGACCATTACCATTTTTGTCATTCTCTAATTATTTCAAACGAGATTGGTTTCACAAAGAAGAAATATTTTGAGTGGATGAAAAAAAAAGGAATCATAAAAAATTTGAATAACAAACAAAAACTTTACAGCTGTAGATGAATCATGTTTGATTAATATTTGAAGTGAGAAAATAACTGAATTCAATTTTGATAAAAATTGGGCATATATAAGTTTTAAACAGATAAATAATTAAAAGTCATTTAAGTATGATTTTAAAATAATTGTTTTAAATTAATTATAAAACAATTCAATATTAAATATAAGTCTAAAACATATTCTATCAAAATGTTAAATGTAATATATTTTGTAGGTGTATTAGTGAATATATATATATATAGATATAATTTTAAAAAAATATTTAAAAAAAAATATTACATGAATTAGAGATATAATAATATTATAATATATAAGTGAGTAAAATCCTAATTTTATTAAGTTAGTTTTATACCATTGAGTTAGATGTTTTATTATTTTTAAAATAATATTAAAAACAACTCTAAAATTAATAAGATAATAATAATTAATAATGATGAATTTAAATAGACTTAATCACCAATTATCAAGATAATAATTGTCAATTACTCATCCCGATAAAAAGAAATGTGAATCGACATGGCAACGGGGCGGGGTGGGTTTTGACTCCCGATCCCCACCCTCGACTTTTTAACCATCTCTCGTCCCGTCTCCGATCCCACGGGTTAGAAATTAAGTCTTTATCCCCGCCCGATGGATTTCGGGTTCTCCGTCTCCGCCCAGTTCCCGATTTATATTATTTTTAAAAAGATAATTACATTTATAATAAATTAATTTTACTATCTATTTTTTATATATAAATTAATATTTATAATTTTATAATTTATAATTATTATTAATTAAATATACATTTTAATTTATTATATTTATATTAAAATATGTATGTAAAAGAAATATTTAATCATTTTTTATTTATAACATTATTATTATTATAACATCTGTATTCAAATATTTGAATACTTATAACATTATTATTATAATATTGTATTCAAACATTTGATTTTATATATATAAAAAAGTTAATTCATTTTTAAGTTGTCATTTAAAAATATAAAATATATAGTTTATAAGGAAATATTTAATAAGTTAATTCTTATTCAATTAGTTCAAAGTAATAAAAATTTAAATTATCAATTCCTTTAATCTTTTAAAATACAATTATTTTATTAAGATAAAATTTGATATATGATAAATAAGAATAATAATAAAAAATATGACATAATAAAACCTAATAAATATAAATTATAAATAAAATAATATTAGTTACTACTAAGATTTCTGTAAAATATTTAGAAAAAGATAAAGAATAAAAAAAATTAACTTTGTGTTCATCAAATTGGTTAAAAATATTGAAAAAAAAATAAATTAATGGAAGAAATATAAAAAATCGAAAGGTAAGAGAGAATAATGTAATAAATTAATTGATATAAAAGATTAAAAAAGACAAAAAAATTAAAAAATGGGTAGAAGAAAAATAAAAATTGGTGAAATATAAAAAAATGACCTTATATATAATAAAAAATGAGAAAGAAATACTTTTAAAATATTAATATTTTAAATTTTAAATTTAAATATAAAGTCGGTGCGAGGACGGGGTCGGGGTGGGGATTGCATTACCCATCCCCGCTCCGCCCCGACTTTTAAAGCGAGAAAACCCGAACCCGCCCTGCACCCGATCAACTCGGGTTTTCTCCGTCAAACTCGGGACGGGGACGGGTCGGTCCCACGAGTACGAGTTTAATTGTCATCCCTAAATGTGATATAAAAAATTTTCCTCCACAACGAGACGGGCGGGGATCGGGTTTTTAATCCCCGCCCCAGACTTTTTTAATCATCCTGTCTAGGGATGGCAATCAAACCCGTCCCCCCAAGTTGACGGAGAAAAACCAAGTTGACCGAGTTCGGGTTTTCCCGCTATAAGAAATCGGGTTCGGGGGCGGGGATGGGTAATGCAATCCCCACCCC